GGCCCCCTCGAGCAACGAAAAGATCACGACGGGAGGTTCTTCGCCGTTTTCGGCCTCGTGGGGCCCTTCCTGGGCCTCGGGGCCGTCCAAAAAGGACTCAGGATGAAAAGCTCGTCCCGGGGAATCGGTCGAAACCTCTGGGGGTCGGCGTCATGGAAAAGTCATGACGTCGGGGGTCTGTGGTCGCAGGCGAGGAAAAGATACAGTGGAGACCCATGCCAAGAGACACCATGCCTGCCTCCAGTGTGCCATGGGTTTCTTGGGTTTCGATGGTTTTGCAGTGGAAGGCGCGACCTTCCCTCACCAAAAATCGATGCACGTCCCGGGGTCTCAGGGTTGGGTTTCTTGTGGAGGGTTTCTGGCGGACTGGCCGCCAACATGGCGATGCCCGATAACCCCTGGCCCCGTCACCACGGCTGGATTCGCTCCGCAGCCCTGGTCAGAGCGCACCCCATGGGAGGTCCGGGAAGTGGCGGCATTGGCACCTTTTGGTTCCCCCCAGCGGGGGCCCTTGGAGGACGGCGGGCCCTCCCGGAGACCCTGGCGCCGCACAGCTTCTGCACCCCAGCGGCTCTCCTGCGGGTTTTCGGGCCGCGGGGGCCCGTGGCAGACCGACGCGCCCCGAGAAGTGTCACAGAAAGACTGGGCCGGGGCTGTTGCGGTCTCGGATCCTGATGGGCCTGTTTTCCACCACCACCATAAGTTGGAGGGGGGATGGAGGAGGAGGACGAGGAGGAGGAGGAGGAGAGCGAGGAGGCGGAGGAGGAGGAGGAGGAGGAGGAGGAGGAGGACGAGGAGGACGAGGAGGAGGAGGAGGAGGTGGAGGACCCCCTCCCCCTCCAACTTATGGTGGTGGTGGTGGAAAGAAGGCCCATCAGATCTCAGCGCGGGACCACGGGGCTGTCCGCAGGACCGGCTCGAGGGGCCGCCTTCCCCCCGGGACCCGCTCCCTGCATGCCAGAGCGAGCGCGGCCCGCTCCACGGTCTCCGGCTGGACCGCGGCGAGCGGCTGCGGCGGGCGGGCCGTGCAGGAGTTGCGCGGGCCTTCTGCGCGCAGCTCCCGAGGGCAACTTCACGACGGCCGACGGGCTGCGACGACGCCGATCTCCTCGCGCGGGCCGCTCTCGCTCTCCTCGCGGGCCCGGGGCTCGGGGCAGGACTCGAAGAGCGCCCCGCCCGAAGAAGCGAAGGAGCGAAGAGCGACCCGGGCCAGCGCCGAGGGGAAAGTCAGTCGGGGGCGGCAAAGAGCGGGGGGATGACCAGGGGGGGCAGGGGATATCATGGCGTGGGCCATGATATTTCACCAGGTCTCATGGCGCCTCTTCTTGTTTCATTACGTCCCTGGCCCCCCCGCTGGGCCGCGCACATGCCGCCGGTCATGATTTGCACCCCCCCCTCTTGGACACCCCCCTCTTGGCCGCTCCCGAGAAGAGGAAGGATGGTTGTTGGGAGCCGTGCGCCACCAGGTCGACCTCGCAATCGGTGGGCGTTCCCCCACCTGCAGCCTTTAAGGGCCGGGGCAGTCGCGTTCCATTTTTTGCTCTGCAGTCGCGTTCCATTGTTTTGCGCTGCGCGGTGCGGTGCAGAGTGCAGAGCACATTTTTAGTTTGCCCTTTTTGCAGTGCGCTTGCCAGCGAGTCTTCAGCTCCTGGCGGCTTGTGCAACATTTTCTCTTGCACTCCTGGCAGAGCAGAGGTCCCCCATCCAGCTCCAGAGGCCACCTGCCGTGACGGCAGCCCGAGCTTGTCCGAAGAACTGGACGGCGAACGGTCGTGGCCGCCCCCACCCCGGGCCCCATGGGGCGCGGCCCTGGCTCCGCGGCCTGGCAGGCGGTGTGGCTGGTTAGCGCTGCGGTCTGGATTTCCAGACCCCCTCGAGCAATGCAGAGGTCACGACGGGAGGCGCTTCCTCACTTTCGGCCTCTGGGGGCCCTTGCCGGGCCTCGCGACCGTCAACCAAACGACTCGTGACGAAAAGCCGGTCCCAGGGAAGGGGTCGAAACCTCTGGGGGTCGGCGTCGTGAAGAAATCATGACGTCGGGGGTCTGGGTTCCTCGACGTCCACCGATGTGTTTTTTGCCCCACCTGTGGCTGCAAAGAGGTCCCGACCCCTTCACATTCAAGCCGTGGCGAAGCGTCCTGGCGTGCCTATAGTCCTACCAAACAGTGTTCTAAGAACCTTTTGTGCTTCCCACGAAATGTTCTTGGAACACGTCTGGCTGGGGCCGTCTCGTTTCAACACATCTGGCGTCTCTTCTAAGAACATTGCTCCTGTTCTTAGAACATGTTTGGGCTCTATAGGAATATTTCGTGGTAGGACTATCGGAATGCCGGGACGGCCGGTCGTCCTTGCTCCACGCCTCCGGTGTGATCTCTTGCGCAGTGGACGCCTTCGGGATATTCTTCGCGGGGCCCGACAGCCAGCCCTGGAGAGGTCGAAGTCGACGACGAGCGCCTGGACCGAACAAAAATCAGGTCGTCGCAGATTTGTTCCTCCTCCTCCTCCTCCTCCTCCTCGTCCACTTTTGATGCGGGCGCTGGCTGCAAGCAGAAGTCGACCAGGAAAAGCAAACGGCACCACCCCACCCTACGGCCCTCCCTGTGGTGCGAAGTGCGGCCCATCGGGGGCCGCAGCGCATACCGCGTAAACCCCACGCCAGATTTTCTGGCATACACTAACGTCAGCCCCCTGGCGCCGTAGGTGGAGTGACGTCGCTTGTGTCCTGGCCCACGGGAGGTCTTTCTGAGAAAGTGCAAGCCGAGTCGCAGACCAACCCCGCCTGCAGCGTCGCACCGCACCACGGCGTTACGGCCCGCACCGCCTGCCCGCCCCATGAGTGGCTTGCTCTCAGCAGATATATAAATACTGTCGATATGCCCGCGGGGCCTCCCCGACCAGAGGCCTGTGCTTCCGGCGGCGGCGCGCTCTCCCAGCGCGCCCCAGGCGGCCTCAGCGCTGCGGAATGCCTTGCTATACTTTTGTGCCACCAGGGGAGCGGCGCCCCCAAATCGGGCCGGACGAATGGGGGGGATTGGGAAAGGGGGGGTTACGAAATCTGCTGCATGCAGCTGGTTTCGGCCTCACCGAGGGGCCCAGCCCTCGATACATAGCCGCCTCCGGCGCCGGGAGGCGCCGGGAAAATCAGCCACGTGAGCTGATTCTCAAACCCCCCCTTTGCTATCCCCCCCGTTCGCCCGACCCGACAAAAACGGGGTCGTCTTCGCCCGCTTCCGCGCGCCTGTTGCCCGCGTAAGGCTGCGCGTGAGAGCGCCCTCGCTGCACGTGGGGCGTGCTGCGCCGGCGGCCCGCGTGAGCCGACGCGCAGGGTCGGGTCGCCACGTCACCTCGCGCAGGATCCGTTTTTGAGCGTCGCTCGGGTGAGGGGGGAGTGACGAACCAACAACACACATACACACCCATACCCATAGGGGGGTCGGAGAGGGCTATGGGTGCGTGTTGTCGGATGGGGGCCCCCGCTCGAAGGGGAGCGTTCCCCAGGGTCCGACAACCTGCACCCATACCCATAGCCAGTCCTCCTCCCAACTACCCCCCTATGGGTATGGGTGTGTGTTGTTCGTTCGTCCGGAAGGGTGGGGGGCAGTCGTGCGGGGATCATAACCTGCGCCACGCCTTCTGATCCTTGAGCCGCCAGCGTGACGGCTCTCCGTCCCGCACGCGCGCCCCGAGAAGGGAGCCCCGGAGAGCCAGGGCAGGGCTCGTTCCGTGCCGGCTCGCTGGGCAGGAGCCTTCGCCACCGCGCGGCCCCTGACCGTGCAGAGGTAGAGGACGCTCCAGTCAAGGCAACACTCGTGGGCGTGAAACATTGTGCCACACTATTAGGGGAACAAAAAGTGGCATAAACATAAAAACTCTGAGGTCCGCGCGGATTTCTCGGATCGGCGCTGGACCCCCCTTCCTGGCCCGCGGAGCGCGGAGCGCGCCAGGGGCGGCGCCGGAGGCGCCGCCGGGGGGCCCCAGCGCCGATCCGAGAAGTCCGCGCGGACCTCCGAGTTGTTATGTTCATGTCACTTTTTGTTCCCCTAATTGTGCCACACTATGCTGCTGCATGTTCCATCTCTGGACTGTGCTTGGCCATCCGGTGCTGGGACCTCGCGGCCCACCGCGGCAAGCTTCGTGCCTCATTCTTCGAAACATGTCTACGTCCGTGGCCTCGCGGGGCAGGCCCCTTGTCGGAGGCCTAGAGTTTGACACCAGCACCAATATCGGCGGTGTGCCTCCAGGGAAGATGATCCCGATCTCGGTAATGTTCGGGCTTCCAAGGTGGCCGAAATATTTCCACCATCAGCAAAATCTAGGATCAGCTTCCCTGGTTGAGGCAGATCCTGGTGATGGTTTTATTGCCCATTTCCAAGCCTCCTACCCTGGCTGGCGACCCCATACTCCAAATCTCCCATTAATCGGCACCCCCCTAAAAAGACGGACCGCCTTCAAATGCGACCTAATATTCCGGACCCCCCTATTCGACGGGGCGCCTTAATGAACCGGACCCCCTAAATTCCAATCCAAAGGAAGCGCCCCCCAAAAAAACCGGACCCCCCCCCAGTTACCAAAAGGGCGCCTTAAAAAACCGGGCCCGGGGGACGATCAATAAGGGATTTGGGGTGCGTGCGGGGCGTTTTCGTTCGAGGATGCCCCGCGCGGAGCGCGTCCGTGCGACCGCGTGTCCACGGGATGGCGCCCCGGAATTCCAGACTGAAGGCTCGGACATGCGCAGGCGATCCTTCCCCCCCCCTCCTCGCCCCTCCGCGTTCCCCTGCCCCCTCCCCTCCGTTCTGCTCCCTCCCTCCTCCCCTTCCTTCGCTGGCCGTTTCTCCACGAGAAAAATGTCTTCACCGGCCGGATGGGACCCTTCACCAGCCAGATGGGACCCTTCACCGGCTGACCGGCTGGTCGGCTGCCCGGTTTCACCGTCTGACCTCGCCTCACCGTGCGCACATGCTTGTTGGACGCAGAACTCGATGCACACCGGCAAGGAGTCCTATGCATTCCTAGCGAATTCTACCGAAACCTATGAATTCCTAGCGAATCCTACCGAAACCTATGGATTCCTAGCGAATCCTACCGAAACCTATGGATTCCTAAAGAAATTTGCAGAAACCTATGGATTCCTTGCGAATTCTACCGAAACCGATGGATTCCTTGCCAATCCTACGGAAACCTATTGGATTCCTTGCGAATTCTACCGAAACCTATGGATTCCTTGCAAATCCTACCGAAACTTATGGATTCCTGACGAATCCTACCGAAAACTATGGATTCCTTGCAAATCCTACCGAAACCTATGAATTCCTAGCGAATCCTACCGAAACCTATGAATTCCTACAGAAACCTACGGATTCCTAGCGAATCCTACCGAAACCTATGGATTCCTTGCAAATCCGACCGAAACCTATGGATTCCTTGCAAATCCTACCGAAACCTATGGATTCCTGGCGAATCCAACCGAAAACTATTGATTCCTTGCAAATCCTACCGAAACCTATGGATTCCTGGCCTCAAGCCACTTCGGCCCGAGCACCAAGTCCTCTCCCCCCGTGGAGAGGCCGCGTGATTTGGGCCGCCTCGGTGCCTCCCCGTGGCGCTTGAGGGACAGCTTTAGTAGAGGGTACAGTCCAGCCCTTTCACTTTTGCTGACGAAAGCCGAGATGTCTTTCGCAAGTCCGAGGCTCTGGTCGACATGTCAATCTTGTGGGACGCAGGAATACAATGATCGATTGATTAGTCGTGGCCAGCTATGTACTTGCGGAAAGAAAGTCAAGCTCTACAAGGGCAAGAAACAGCCACAGGTTCCGACTGGAGGTTCCGCAGGAGGGGTTCCAAAGAGCGCTCTTCGCAAACAGGTTACCTTTGCAGTTGGTGAGAAGCCTGATGGTGGGTCTCGTTCCTCCACGCCTGGCCATTCCCCTCGCGGGTCAGTTGGGCAGCAGAAGGGACAGGATGTTCTTTTTGGTCATTTGCAGGCGGCGCTTAAGGCAGCCACCGATCCAGATCTTCGTTCTTCCCTGGAGATGCAGCTCAAGAAGCTCAAGAATGCTGCGTCTGCTACGGGTACCAACGTGGTGTTGGCCATGCAGCAGGCAGACGGGGCTTGGAGAGATGCCAAGAATCGCCATCAGCAAGCCGTCACGTCCGTGATGAGATTGGAGAAGAATCTTGAGGCTGCACGCGAGAAAGAATCCAGGCTTGCTCGTGAAGTAGCGGAAGCCACGCTGGTGCGGGCTCAGGCTGCTTCTGCGGTTGCCAAGCTCGAGGGCGTCAACACTGCACGTGGTGACCCTGGAGGAGGCGAGCCAGCAGACAAGAAGCCGTTCGACATTGTGTGGGACCATGAACTTTTCGCTAACTTGGAGGAGCTGGAGTGCGAGCCGCACGAGCGGGACACACTCAAGAAATGTCTGGAAGAGTTGCAGGCGCAGAAGGCCACGCTGTCTTCGAAGGCCGACGAGGTCACGCAGCTGGTTGATCGGGCAAGGTCTACGAGGGCCACCATCTCCGAGCGGTTGGCCAAGAAGCGTCGCAACGCTGATGATGACGTACCTGGTGGTGCACCGTCGGGTCAAGCTCAACCGGACGCAGCGCCAGCGCCGCCGCCGACGACGGAGCAGACCCAGAAGCAGCAGGAGGACCACGCCGCCAAGGTGGCCGCGGAGGCGGAGCGCATCTCCGCCGCGCAGTTCGAGGCGCAGCGGCTCGCGGCGCAGGCGGCGCCGCCTTCTGAGGGCTCTGCTGTTGCATCTTGACTAGGGACCTCGAGGTCCCTGGGCGTGGCGACTTTCAAGCCGCGCGAGCGCCCTGCTCTGCCTGAGTTCTCCACCGTATTGTTCGGGAATGTTACGTCCATGGGCGATAAGGTTTGGGATTTTGTCTCAGCTGGTTTGCAGGATAAGTCGTTCGATGTAGTAGCTTTAGCAGAGACTCATGTTTCACGGTCTGCCCTGCTCCCGTGGCAGAAGAAAGCTCGGAGAGATAAGATTCGAATGCACGCGAATCCAGCTCGCAAAACTGGTCGAGCGGTCACGATAGCTGGGCAGGAACGCGACACTGAGGGTGGTGAGTGGATTTTGATGCCTGGACACAGGCAAGCACATTCATTGAGCCATCAGTTGGATCGGGTCCAGGAGTTTCAGTTTGACGGGCAGCTCACGGTTGATGGTTTCGCTGCTGTACATATATATGACTGGTTACTCGTATGTGCTAGTCTCTTTTTACGCTTATACTTCTGTAGGCATGGCTAGTTCCAACATACAACGTTTTGCTAAACTCGGGGCGTTTTTGGCGGCGTTGAAGCTCCCTTGGGTTCTCCTTGGGGACTTTAACACGTCGGCTAGCGCATTGGGAAAGGCTGGCTTTTTCGCGCGTGTAGGGGGGCAACCAGTGCTTCCAGCTACTGAATATACCTGCAATGCGAGCAAGTCGGGCACGACCGTAGATTTCGTTGTCATCAGTGCCGCCGCCGCCCCATATTTTCACTCAATCGAGCTTGTTTTTTCGGGTCCCCCGGAAGACCCACTGTGGTCTTAAGCTTCTGATGCGTTCCTCGGGCAAGCAATTGGTCCAGCGGGCCCTGGCTCTGCCGTCAAAGCTGCCCCAGGTGTCCAGGCCCACGACTCGGCCCACAGCTGGCTCGAAGTCGCAAGTAGCTAAAGCTCAGCGAAGGGTCAAACAGGCTGCTTTCGCGGAGCGGCGTGATGAATATTACAGCAAGCTTTTTTCGGACGCTTGGTCACGAGAGGATCGTGAGCGGCAGGCGGCGAGAGAAGTTATCGCGCCTCATGACTTGGATGCACTGTCTGATGCGCCCTCGGAAGAGGACCCGTGGGCGCACGAGCTCAACTTTATTGACGATCGTCATTCGACGTCGCTAGGAGGTCAAGCACCCTCGGCTCCGTCGGGAGAAGAGGATGAAAGATCTTCTGGCGAGGCAGATCAGGGCCGACCTGGCCAGCACGGCGTGCCCATCATGGGCGGGCGATTTCATTTGCCTCATTATGCTCAGTCAATCGCTTGGGGCAATGTTGGTGAAGATCGCACATCGTCGTCTCAGAGCCTCACAGGTGACCCTCCCGACGTTCGTGTTGAGCCGCCCCCCTCAGGTACAGATGAAGGAGCCGAACCTAGTGTGCCGTTTTGCATTGCCGACGAGACGCGGGTGAATGCTCGCGCTCAAGTCGGACTGCAGTCGCCCCCGCTCCCTGCTCCTGCCTTTGCTTCGTCAGTAGCTGCTAGGCTCGGATCCGATGTTGTGAGCCCAGTTTCAGCCCTTTACGGTTCATGGGTGAAGGCAGTGGAGACGACGGTGTGCGATCATCACGGCATTACTCAATTGCCAGGTATTTCTCGTTCGCAAGGATATTCTTTTGTTGTCCAGGAGGTTCGAGCCCCCGTCAAAGCAAGAGTTTCCCCCTACAGCAATATTGTTGCAACCTGGTGGGAGCAGTTGGCGGTGGTCTTGGAACGGATTCAGGGACACAGGTCTAAAGGGAACGGGGTTGTACAGAGAGAGCAGTTGAGAGTTTCGATTCGTCATCTGTTAGAAGAGGCCCCAGACAGGGCCCACGCGGGGATTCGTGTTGGGTCGGAGCCATCTTGGGAAGCCTGGTCTCAGCTTCTGCAAAGAGGAGCCACAGTGTCAGCCACCATTCTTCAGAAGTTTGTAGCTGCGGCACAGAAGATAGCTCTTCGCACCAGGCCGAGGGCTCCCCGCTCTTCACTGGATAGTTTCAAGGATTGGTTTATGACCAAAGAGGCTGAGGGGCCACTGC